TTACGTTAGCGCTGTCCAAGGAGCATCTGGAATCAGCTATCTTGTGTAGGTAACCTTCGATCCAACTGGCTTAGCGACGGGAAAGCGGGCTCTGACCTAATCAAAGCGCTCGCGCCGCTGCGCAGTCTGCACTTCTCTCGCGCGCGTGCTCTCTGATCGCTACGTAGCCTCGATTAGGCCACGAAGCCCCGCCTTTCAGTCCAAGCCAGCTGAATCAAATAGTAAGTTCCGTTTCTCGAAAAAATGGCACTCGGAATTGAAAGCATTTTATAGAGGTTGGACTTGACGGTTTTGCTATGTAAAAAAAGACGAACAAAAATGCAAAGTTTTTCAAATACATCTTTATCACTTTATATACAAGTACGATATTATTAAACCAATTCTAGTTGATCTGGAATGCATAGCACCACGTCTTATCTTGTCCATCCATACAGTACTGTCGGCTTTGACTAACGAATGTGACTGGCTTGGAGGAGCACGCAACCACCCACTCTCCTCCTAGTTTGTTTCTCACCTAAAATTATTGTCATTCAAGAAATATTTGGTTTTAGCATTGATAACTTACCTCAGCATGGAGTTTTACTTCAGTATGGTTGCTTTCAATGCTCTGGAAAGAATTCTATTTGGAAAATCGTGTAAGGGGAGCTGCACTTAGCTGCCAAACAAATTTTCTTTTTTTTTATACCTTGAGAATAATTCTTCGCAGATCTTCGTTATTACAGCTGCTAATGTCACTCGGAATGGCCACTGCTGGTGGCGACAATGCTTGTCGCTTTTTGCGTCCGCATCCACAAGGCGAACACATCTGGAAGAGGCAAATTTTAAATCCGGCTGCATTTTCATTAATTCGAGTGATCTATGGATTATGTTTCAGTTTCAAGATGCGCTGAACATTACTTGACTCTAGGCACTTTCCATCGAAATGCGTTTGAAAATAGTACAGGAAGAGATTTGAAGCTATTCTGCAGGAATTTGTAGAGAATCGTACTAGGCCCTCTCTACTTCCTAAACAACCCGGAGGAAGCTTAGAAACCAAATGTCCTGTATTTGAGGGAATGGACGAACTGCATCTTATCCACAAAAAATACTATACATTTTTATGCAGTGTTCAATATTTTCAATAAGTAGTTACTTTTATGTCGTAATTACTTTTCTCAGGTTTTCCTCGCCTACAAACTGATCCAAGCTTCACACTTATTCTTATACGTTTAAACTCTTAGCGATTGTTGAGCAAAGGCACATTCTCGTAATTCCGAATTCAAGAGTCCCGGTGAGGGTTAGATACAAAATTTCGTCTACGGGAGATAACGAAGCGGAACTATAGTGTAAATATTTTTATATCATGAAAAGAGTATTGGAAGGGGAGAGGAAAAGGAGAGTTAAATTTGAGTCTTTTCGTAAAGAGTTGGTGCAGCATGACATTTGAATAGACTTACCACTGGAGGTGGACAAGGGCATGGTGGAGGTGGAGGAGGGCAAAGAGAAGGTAGTTGAATGGGAGGTAAACAGATAGGTGGTGGTGGTGGAGGAGGACAACCACAGCCCATACCAAATCCTGAACAATGGAGAAGTTTATTTTTACCGGCAACAGAAGGAGGTCCTGGAGGTGTACCTCCAAAAGAAGAAATTGAAAAACTTACCGAAGGCAAGTGTAGAAACAGGAAGAAGAGCGGCTAACAACAAAAACATTGTTAGCTGACTGAAGAGTGCCTTCTGAGGTATATCGACGAAGGTGACGACGATTTTATAGGGGCAAAACCCGCAGCGAAGTCTAACCGAGTTCACACCACACTGTCGTACGATCCGCCCCCATGGCGACAGCGGACGTGTGCGGGAGGTGCGAGCCGTTTCACAATTCATCCAGAGAATAGAAAAAGATGAGGTCGTGCACTGTGAGAGCCAGGAGAGTTGTTATATGCTACTGTTTACTTATGCAAATACTCGAATTTTGAAAATTTCAGTCTTACTTTGACTCACTTCTAACCCAGATAATTCTGAATTATCCATAAGTTTATGTAATTCTTTATCGATAGAGCCCTATTTACACCAACAGGTTTTTTGCACTTGGATAAATGATGCATTACAGAGGTCATCCTTAGAATTTGCGCCTTCGCCGAGGAAGGTCAGTACGTGCTCGCTGAAGATCTAGCAAAGTGCAGATATACTTTAAAATTCCTAGATGCGTTACTCACAGAACGAACTTTAATTCACCAAATTCTGAAATTTGACTGCTTTACACTGAAAAATTCCAGGTTGAACATAAGTCGTTGAGTAAGTTGCTTCTGTTAAGGAAAAAATGTTGATTATGCCTCCAATTTCAATAAAAAGAACAGAATTTTATCCTACATGGAATAAACTCATAAACATTTTTCAGTACTCTTTTCATAACTGAAGCGTGTGAGAAAGGGGGGGGGGAATGTTGGGAAGGGAGAAAAGCACAGAATGCCCAACAGCGAGGAAATTGTAGCTTGCCGTATAATGATATGTGACCATAATTTCACTGTAATTTGTTAGACCTCTAAACTTTGTCTTGAATGGACTTTGTAGAAAGCTCGTCCTCACATTTCTGTAAATATTGCAAGAAACCTTCTGAGACCATGGCTTCGTAAAGTGCAATTTTTCGCCTTTTTTCTGCCTTTTCTTATAGCTTCTACAAAATAGAGCTTTTCAAGCACTCAGACCCATCACAAGTGTTACATAAAAAATCTTAATCAAACAAGGGAGAAACCTGAAATTTTGTATTTGTTCGAAGTTTGTTACTCTCCTGCAGCTAGTCGCTCCTTCTTAGTATAGCATGAAGGTCAAAGATACATGATTTATTTGAATTTTAACGAACTTTATTGTATATTTTTTCCTTAGTGGCCTAAATTCAATTCAACCGTCAATGAAGCCGGTAAAAGTTTATTAATTACTGATTATAATTATTAGCATTTCCCTAGAACAAACACATGAAAGCCAATTATTCAGCTGAACCTGAACGTTTGTTGAGATTTTGTAAATAATGAATAAATAATGCTCAGTGCTCTTACTCTATAGTCCAGAAGCTGGTGGTCCCAAAATTCTGTCCAGAAAGAGGTGGGGGGGGGGGGGAAGAAAGGAATGTTTTTTGAGTAAAGGCGTGGCTTTATCCACGTGGCCTTACCCATTTAGAACGTTTTTTTGGGAACTTCCGAAAATTTTTGTAGACCCCTAGGAATTTTTTTCACATGGCTAACTTGATTTTTAGAAAAATTCAACTTCATTTCAACTATTATAATTATAAGAATGAACGACTTGCGATCTTTGGATTCCAAATAAGTAACCTCTGAATATTTCGCAAGCCATTCTTGGAGAGAAAGCTTCCCCCCCCCCCCCCGCCTCTCCCTCGATTCGTGACTGTCTAGAAGCTGTTATGTTGTTATGTTCGTTGAGAGTAGTCCCTAGCTTCTAGACAGTGGCGAATAGAGAGAGGCGGGGGGGGGGGGTGGACGCTCTTTCTCTCCAAGAATGGCTTGCGAAATATTCAGAGGTTACTTATTTGGAATCCAAAGTCGCAAGTCCTTTATTTTTGTAAATAATTGAAAAGTTGAATTTTTCTATGATTATTTATCTTGACCTTGATTAATTATGATTATGATAATTTATTAATGATTATTTACCTTCACCTTTACCACAAGATTCCAATTCCCAAAACTTCCATTCCACTTTTATTCCGACCATGGATGGTCAGGCTAATACTAGGAACCACAAACACATGCTAAGATCCAGTGTGACTCAACCATTGTAAACTCCTTGTACGATACGAGTGTGAAACGGGATGTAAGGAGGCCAAAGATCTCACGAATCGCACTTTTGGCACAATTGACTCCTCAAGTTTCTTATTTACATAGACTTTTTGAGTGTATCTCTACAACTGCAGAACCTCATACTTCAGTGCTGCAAATGATTCTTTCCACTTGACCTCTAGTAGTTCCAATTTGTCTACATAGTTGGCAGATACGGTAAGGGAGAAATGGCTTAAAATTTAGTCCTGTATATCAACGATGATTTCAATTTTTACAAAAAAACGAATACTCAGAGCATTGATACAATTGTATTATAGCTTAACTGATGTCTGGAATCAAGAAATGGTCTAGCTACTTAAGATCTGATTTCTTTCCAATAACTCCTTTGTCTTACTTTTCTATGCAAATTATGAACTTCAGATTTATGAGCTACAACCTGCAGAACTTCTGCTTTTTTGGCAATCATTTAGCACCAGAGGGGTCCCATAGGTCTTACGTATTGATACTATCATACAAGGACTTCTACAGTAGACAATACGACACAAGCGATTAAGTGACTTCTGTAATTTTATTTTTACTAGTCTTCAATGCATGGAAGCACATTTGGCACGATAACGGGCAAAAATGTTTTGAATTTTTTGGATTCTAGAGCCTATACATCCATTTGTGGTCTTTTAGATATTCTGCTCCCTTTTTTGATGAATTAAATTTCTTCAACTTCATTTCTCTGTTTATTTTACTAACTTCTACGATTGTCTTTCGTTTATTCTCGCAGCTGCTCCCATAAAACAGCATAATAGTAGCTAATATAGGTCAGAGTCTCTGGAAATTCCAGTCATTTGTTTACTCTGGTTGGGGTAAACTAGAAAACCAGAGCATCATTGCTGCCGAAATCCTACTAAGAATGGAAAAGGCGGATGTAGTCTTTGCGCAAAGAATCTACTAGAAGAACTAGAGGCAATGCTTCTTTTTTATGATTCAGCAGACTTCGTTATAATTTTTGAGAATGGCTCATTTCTAGCACCTATGAGGTGAATCGGTAAACAAGATTCCCTCCCTCTTTCAAAACAACCGCTTGTGCGTGTCGGAAGCATTTTGGCCTACTTTTGTGACCTTTGATCATGCTAAGTATTTAGTCGTAAAACGCGCTTTAGTGCGCATTCGTCCCAACTGGTATATCTTGTGACATCATACATATTCAGCAAACGGGATTTCCACTTATGTACTCAAGGACAATTCGCTATGGTTGAGGAAGTGTGGATTTCGTCACAAGCAGATAGATGCAGAATAAATGCGTCTATGACCTTGGTTCAATCAGAAACTTTGCTGAGATACTGCTTGCAAATAGAAATAAAAAATTTGTAGCTCTAGAGTGTGGCCACTCTTCTTATTCATCTAAGCTCAAGTGCTTTCACCTTGAAATCAAAAAAATTGGAGGCTTACAAAATTTATGAATATAACACAGATCCTTTAACAAACCAAACGCCTTTGCTGTAGTCACTTTCTATCTTTGTTTTAATCTACGCCTAGAACAAATTCCCTGCAGTGGTTCAAATACGTTAAGTCATTTGTGGGCTTTTTGTGTACTACACACTACGCGCGGTGCTCGACGATTTAGGCGCTCACGAGCTGCTAATCGCAAGGAATTTCCATTTCCATCCATTTACGAACTGAACTAGGTGCAAGTAGGGGTTAAATGTCCTCATTTCAACTTTTGTTTCTACAAAGATTCTAAATCTTTGTTAGTAGGAGTCGACTTGCGCGGGGTGTGCAATCTCACACTTCAGGCATTACCGTAACCTGCGGAAATGTGAAGAAGTAATTCATGCAAGATGTGTGACTTGGAGCATTTCATTCATTGTTTTAGATTTATTATGTGGTGTTCTACAGTAAGATGAGCATTCTTCGAAAAATCCAAATAAGTTGATGAACGCTGTCGTTTCCAAGAAAAATTTATTGGAGAAGAGTAGAGGTTTCTGTGTTTTTTAAAGTAAGCGCACGTCTACCTTACGGGGTATTCTCACAGAAATTTCCGTCACAAACCATATAGCACCGTAAAATTGAACTGAATCTCAATTGTGGATTTTAGTTCAGATATCATTTTGCAACAATTTACAGCCTCCGCTAGCCTAGCGGCGGTTCATGAACTTTTACAATCCAGCGTTAGCCTCATATCCCAGAAGTTTTAGGGCTAAGCGAAAACCGCGCCGCACTTTACAAGCAGTCCAAAAACCGAAACGGTAAAGAAGTTCATATCTTCTTGAATAAACTTTTTCGGATTAAGCCTTCCACGCGCTCACGTTCGGGTCAAGTTCGATTTTTCGTATGTTCACGAAAACAAAAGCAATTTCTGGCTATCGGGGAGCGTATCCGTGCTTTCTCGACTGCCACAGCTTTCACGGAAATGATGTGGGGTTAGGGGGCTTTTTATACTATCTCAAAAAAAATTCAATCTTTCATTGATTATTCGATATTTACACTTTTTGAAAAATCTGACCCGACTATGGGTCCGGATCTGTCGTTATGTGCAGCTTTATAGGAACACATTCCGTTGGATCCAAACGTCTAAGGTTTTCCCGCACTCGTCTTGATCTGTAAAATTTGAGACATTGCATAGCACCCTATTTGGAAATTTAAAGAAAAGGTACCGCTCCTTGGCCGTGATTTCCTCGTTCATGCGGACATCGCAAATGTAAACAAACATCCGCCAAGTGAGCAGAATTGTGTACACTTCGAATATCAGAATTAACAGCTGTAAAAAATAAACAGTGGGATATGTACTCGTACAAAAATAACATTATGGCGTTGAAAATCTAAGCACAGTACCCAATTAGCGATTTTTCAATTTTTCAAACCCTTACTTTCTAATCACGCTTTCTTAGCGCCGTGTAAGTGACAGCGAACTTCAAAGATAACATTCCCAGTAATGGTTTTTTCCCTAGAAAAGAAATTTCTATTAACATTTTTGCCTTTGTGCAAAAGGAGTGAGGGAGAGATTTCTGCTGAGGAAGAGAAAATTGGAGGGCATGAGGAAGAAACCAGGGCTCGGCACAGATGGCCTATGAGCATGCTGGATATCGTTTTTGGGACAATAAGCAAAGGGGGTTTCGTTTTTGTGGGTGAAGACACACACAAAATTTTAGTGGATGTTTCGTTTTTTGGATATTTTTTTTAGGTTTTTAGAGGAAATATTGAGGGTCAAAGGGGACTTCGAAAAAATTCCCAAAAGTCAAGGGGGACTTCGTTTTTTTTGCATTTTCATCTAGCCACCTGCCGAGCCCTGGAAGAAGCATTCCAAGGTCCACTCCACAGGGGGTGTACATTCCAGTACATATTAAATCGGATTTTTCCACAGAAACTCACTGCGAAGCTCTTCAGAGGTTTTGCTGATTTATAGCCTTAAAACAAGAAGCAAAACAAAACAAAATAAAAGATTGTTCAATAATTCACTCAATCATGGTAAGAGAAAAAATAGCCCAAATGAAAACCCTTCTTCTATGAAGTCATCAAAGGACGACAAGTACAGACTGTTTTTCTATGATGATTTCATAGGATCTCCTCTTTAATAGTATTATGACTCTACGTTACTCAGCGAATAATCCTCATGTGATAAACTAGCTACTTCTTGCTTCACAATTTGATATAATACATTTTGTCTTATCAACAAATTTACCCACCAGCGACAAATTATGCAACAAAGGACCGGTGACCAGTGTATCTTTCGTATTAGCAGTATCCAGAAAATCGACAAATAGTAATAATATCAGTAGAAAAGCCAGTAGTACATATGTGAAAAAGTAGGGTATGAAGTAAGCATATCTACAATTTTGTGAATGAATTCTTACAAAAAAGCAGTTGAACATGGAAATCTACCTTTTGTACACAGCTCCTATGAGTAATACGATATTAGCAGTTGCAGCGATGAAGAAGCCAAGTAGGGCACCTAGTAATAGATTGCAATGCTCAAAAATTTTTGATAGATGAAAAGACTCACAAAGTCGTAGAAGACTGTTTTTGGAGATGATCAACTCATATAGAAGTAGTATGAGGAGCAGTAATGTTTTGAGTATAATAAGTTTTGGTAGAACTTCTTTGACATGGAAGGCACCAAAGCAAGCATGATAACGAATGTGATTTTCCTAGAGAAAAAGGAAAAATGTAGAACAAGCAGGTACAAGTTTATGCCTCCAGATTGATTAGGCAAAGATGAACTCAGTTATATTGTTTCAATAGAAAAATAAGTTAAAATCGCTTACCTCAAATACAGCAGGATTATATGTTTGATCGGGAAAGATACAACAGAGAATATAATCACGAACATAATTTGAAAACCACTTGGCAGAGGCCATCGTTTACCGTCCGCATAGGGCTTATGATTGATTCAACAACCCGTTTCGATACGTAGCATTAACGTCGACTTTATCAATGCGGTTGATGTTTACGATGTAAACAATTAGATCACTTTGGAAGGGGGGTGGTGCAGGAGGAACCAAAGGGCTGTCGCCTGCATCCGCAGGAGATAATTAAGAGCGCGAGCGGTGTGGAGAATATTTTGGCAAATCCAAAAAATTTGACAAGGACATCCTTTAGGAACAAATCTCAACTTCGCCTGAGTTGACTTTGAAAAATTTGAAGAATAGATTTGTAATGCAAATTGGAAGGCGCATTCACTAGACCTAAACTTAAGTGAAAATCTGGAATTGTAGTGGTAAGAAAAATCAACTTTCTTTTACAAGCCTTTTGTTTTATGAGTTTTGAGGTTTCAATTTGTTTGAGATCCGATTTTCATTAAAATTCATTCTTTTTTCTTTGAGATATAGGAATAGTTTGCCTTTGAATCAATGAACTAAAGCAATGAAAATATCGTAGAAAGACATCTGGAGGCTTGTGTAAAGATGCAATATGCATTGTCTCAGTACTTCAAAAGTATTCTGAATTTAAATTTTGACACTAGAGATTTCATAGGATTCGCAATTAAGACTACGACATTAATCCTTTCGAGGTTGTAGACAATAGCAGAATTCATCACATGCAACTTTTCAACAATATGTTCTGATTACCACTTCCTACTTTCAACTTCGAACCCAAAAATTTCACTAAAAAATTCTCTCAAAATCTTTCACACAACAATGAACTTAAGATTTCTCAGCTGGTGAATTTTCAAGGCAGAGTTTTTGGTAGAAATAGAATTCGAGTAGCGAGACAGAGCATCCGGTGGGCGAGTTACTATCCGCAGAGTTTATCTATCCGGTAGGCATATTACTAAAAAAATCCGCATTTCAATACTGATTCCAAATCTGTTCTGCTTATCCTTGAAAGTTGATTCCAAAAAGAGTTGTAAGGGTTTGTTTTCAACGGATGTCCTCCTACGGTTACAGGCGGCAGGCCTTTGGTTCCTCCTGCACCCCATCCCTTTGGAAGTGTTGGCAAGAAGGTTATGAGACATATATAATCCCAACAAGAATCTTTTCCAATTCTCTCACAAAAGAAAATCAATAAGCATAGTTCTGGTAATTGTTTCCGACTGAAACAAACTTTAAGATTTATTGGTGAACACTTCACCGAAGTTTATGATGATTATCATAGTTTTAAAAATATGCACACAGCTAATCACATTTCATACAGATCAGCAGAGTCAACAGCTAAATCTTCTGGAAAAAGGTCTCGAAGAAGTGGGCCTTGGAATACTGGTTGTGGAATCTGTGGATTAGCTTCTGCTGATTTGACTACAGAACGTTCCATTGACCTTTTTCCTTCGGGTGGCGAAAAGCTCTTGCTGCCTTTCTTTCTGAGTTCGTTCATAGTTTTGATAAAACGACGATGATGTCGCTTCCATATTATTCGCATCACAGTAATAATTGTAGCTTGTACTAGGAGCACCATCGTAATTGTTAAAGATAGAGCAAGCAGTAAGAACTTGGTTCGGCCTCTGAAACTTCAATTCGTTCAAAGAAAGTGAATTTTTAGCCAGTTAGATTAAGAGCCAACTTACAAAATCTGCTTCTCTGCCTCCTAAATGAGTGAATTATTAATTTTGCTGAAATTGGTTCACTGTACCAACCAGGACCATATAGGACTTGCATCTGATTATAGTAATACATAACCACAGGCATACTTCACGCGACTTCAGTTAGGAAGCAATTTGGCAATATTCTAGTTCTTTATAACTTGTAGTTAACTGTTTATAACTCAAGCGCAATATAAAAGTACAGAAATTGGTTAACTTTATCAACCTGCTAAAGTTATAGGACTTGTGAAATTCAATTGCGCGACCCTCACCCTGAACACCAACGCGCGAAGCGGCTAGTGATGTGGGGTCCCAGCGCGACATAGGTTACAAAAACACTTTTGGCTGAGAATAATGTGCAGTGCTAAAAACAACATGGATGTTGACCGAAAAATTCATATGCGAATAAGACCAATAGTGCCTCGCGACCGCTCGCCTATGCTGGTGTTGAAGGCACGGCGCGGAAAATTACGCTTTATAGGGCCTATATACATGCTATGTATTTGTAATCTGCAAGATGTTGCATTTAAAGACATTTGGCAAGTTGCCGGATTCGGGCGGCGACTGAACTTGTCTTTGTTTTTTACTTTTTTAATGAATCTTTTTTTCTTAGTCAAGAATTTACGAAGTTGCCAATAAGGTGCTAATCGTAGCGTTTCTACTTTCTAAGCGAGGGTGACAAACAGAAAATTTGTCAAGTTAGCAATATCTACTGCTATGTAGTAGATACAGTCCAAATTATCAGTGTTTTTGTTCAGCGCTGTCATACGAGTGACGGACTTGGCTTTGTTTAAAGGCAATTTGTTCAATTTTTTGCGTTCTACATGTTTCTAGCTTTGCGAATTTCAATCTCAACAGTTTGCAGAGGATCAATAGTCGGATACTTGAGCATAAAAACGAAGCAAATTTACTCAGTAATAATAACAAGGAAAAATTACCTTCTCTGAAGTGGGCGGTCCTGAAAATGCTGTGTACGTTTACAGCAAAACTCTGTTATCCGAATATTCTTAGCACAAGTGCAGCCTCAGGCGGAAAACTAAGGTGTTCCAAAAGTAATAAGACACCTTGAATCCTTGAATTTTTAAAAAAATTTCCCAAAGATTTCTTTCTGATTAACTATAAAAACCAACAATGTAAACGCTTTTGTATAAAGTGACGCTCGCATGCTTTCTTGACAGCACCTTGCAGCGCTTGGCCCACAATCTTTCGAGGAGGGGTGCTTTGAAGATATTAGGGAGGCATTTATGAACGCCATCCCAATTTATGACGCTGTAGCTCAAAGTCCCTGGACATGTGGCATACCAGTAAAAAGCGTTTCCCAAGTTTTTTTCCAAATGGGACTTGCTGCGCAGATTCTTCTTTATTCTGGATAAAAGAGGCAGATTAGTCGAAAAAGTACAATATTTGGTGCAGCTTCTAGGGGTAAAAGGGTATTTTGGTCCACAATTTTTAAAAAAAGAAATGTTGAGCTAAGTTGCACACTGCCAATGACCTTTGGAAGTCAGCGTGTGATAGAGCTTCTTGCAGCGCAAGAAGCTGAGGTCATTGAGTCAAAGGTCATTCGATTAACCCGATGAGAGGATAAACAATGTGTTTCTAATGCTAATGCTATATTTTTTTGTAGCAATGCGGTACCATCAGCCAATCGTGGATTTGGTGACAGCCCTCTCAACCATTGCGGCACATATATTTGGCAGCCTCACTTGTTGTCTGGGGCGACGCTTCTCAAAGTTTGATATTACTTGAAGTTTGACTTTAGATACTTATAAAAAAGCGCCATGCGACAGTGTGTCTGATCAGAAGGTTCTGATATATACCAACATCTGCCAAAACTTAGGCATTCAATCAATTTTTTTTGCTTGGGAAAATTGCATCTATTTTCTAGGTGTTTCATTACTTTTGAATCACCCTAACAGGAAAATCACTTTTCAGACTTGAATTGAGCCTACCTATTCTTTGCCTCAATTCTTCAATGAGGAACTTCTTCACATCTTTTTTCTTTTCATCGAGCACGTAATTCTATAGCAACATATAAATTCAGTGGCGAAAATGGAAAGCTTGTTCTCGAAAACCAACCCATATAGTATCGTTACAGTCACCATTGCAAGGGCACACATATGTTGTAACATGTGTTTCGCATTCACTCTGTAATTTCAATCTGTGCCTTACTTCTAGCTGAGAGCAAGTTCTTCAATGTTCTGTTTGATTTTGAAATAAGACTTCGAAACTTTGTAGAAATTTGCTTGTGTTGAAAGAAACCTCGTGTTTAAGTGCGCTGACAGCCAAAAATGCCTAAATCTGATAGCGTCCTAGAAGCCCTGTTTCGACGAGCTGCCATCGCGTAGCCACGATGAAAAATCGATTTTTACAAAGCAACTGTCGAATGTATATAAAGGTTGCTGCATGACGAAGGCGCAATGGCGATATTAGTTGGGCACGCGCGAACGCGACGCTCGCGTATCCTCACCGTTGTAGATCCCGCACCTCATGCGCTCTGCGGGCTAATAAAGCCGCGTTCGCGCCCGAAGATATTGCGCCTTCGTCATGCAGCAGCCTATACTCTCTAACATGCACTGCTCTACCCATACTGTGCTGACCAAAAGTTTGCAGCCACTCCGAGAATCTTGCTGTATCTACTCTATTTCGCATAAAACGGGACTAAATTTCGAATGTACGTGTAAATCACACTGCTCAACACTATATCAAAAAATTTTGTAGTCTCACGCACACAGAAGGGCCCTGCGGAACGGGGAACGGTTGGTCGAAACTTGCAGCCGCTTTCTGCTAAGCGTCTGTAGAAAAGTCACCTTTCAGTTTCTGGGCTACAGATGCATCCCTAAGTCTTGAGATATGCAGTGTAACCAGCATCCATGAAACTTCAAAAAAGAACCTTTACAGAGCAATTTTGCTTATGCTTAGACTTCAAAAAATTGGACACATCATTAGGTTGTCGAGAAGTAATGGCTAATTCCTGCTTAGATATTGAACGTTTGGAGGCGGACTGCAAATGTGACAGAAGAAGCAGTACCTGACTTGCCACAAAATTTGTCATCACCTCATTTGAGACCCGGAGCACTGTCCAGGTTTAAAGTTTGGCTCAGTGGTCCAAGCACTAAACTCGATGAAAAATGAAGACTTTGCTTTTACAAAGCCAGCACTGATTCGAGCTTTTTTGGAAACATGGAAACACTACTGCCATAAAAACTTTCTGCGAATCACATTTAGAAAATGTTCGATTTGCTAAGGGGAATCATCAGTTGTAAAATGGCGAAAACGTTTCCATAACAGTAACGTTCCTATGTTTCCGATAAAGCCCTGCGAGCTTCTCCGCGCTTGTTTTTGTAACAGCATGGTTTTCATCGAGTTTGAGGACTGCTTGTATAGGGGCCTGCAGGATCGCGAGAGTCGGAAGTGCGTACGGCCACTGCGCCGCGCATGTCCGACGTCACTGAGGCAGGTGCTAGACTTATCCTTTAACCGGTTCGTCCGGTTCACTCATCGCTATTGATCAGCAGAGTAAAGCGGGGGGGTGCGGCACGCGACCGCCGGATACGACCCCCCCCCCCTTGGGCCGGACCTCGGCACGACCCCCCCCCCCCTTCCTTACCCCCCCCCCCCCCCATCAACTTGCTTGACCACGGCATTGTTGTAAAAGGCCTGGATGAAAAAATTTATTGTACTATTTATGTCATAAAGCAACCCAAGAGGATATAATGATATACAATAAGAAAGCACAACTAAGTATGAAAATGAATCTTAAGCAAAAAACATCAATTTCGATAAAATTCCGTGACCTTAGTAAATCTGAACAATCAGCTCAGTTCAGTTCGCAAGAAAGCAGTAGATGGAACGCCATAGAATGCAAGAGGAATGTCTTACCGCGTCAGGGGAGGCAGATGTTAGTCGGAGCTCTTCAGGGTTGAGATTCTTCTGTGCCGAGCCACTGCGTTTGAGATTTGGCCAGAGCTGAAAAAAAACACGCTGTCAAGCGCTGTTCCGTAGGTCTTGAAACAAAATACAACAGTTGTAGCCGTGCCACTGCAAGCTTTTACAGAGAAGAATTGGCAGAAAATCTGCCTTGAACTCAGAGAAGTAGAAGGCAAGCTGCGGTTGCACAAGACTGCGCTGCTATGCAAAGTCAAAACTGGGTATTAGGAGGAGAATTTTAGGAACGGCAGCTATGATAAGCAACAACAATGGCCAATATTTTTGCATTAATCTGATACTAGATATCGGTCAAAGTAAAAAGCCTGCAAGGAACATAGAAAGCTGGGTAGTATGTGTAGTTTAGTCTCTTTCATTTTTCAACCTTGATTCCGTCGTCGAAAAATCACAAAAAATACCCTGAGTGACATCTGTTATTGAGCAAGCATTGAGCACATACCGCCCCGGATAGTAATCGTTGCTTGGTTGAGAGGTCACATGTGTTGTGTCATTTTTGCGGAATAAGGATTTGATCTTTTCAATAGGTGAACTCGGTCGTTTGTAGTTGGATAGGTCGTCGTACCTAAACAATACCCTTGATATACATTCCAAACCAGACGAATTTTAAGTAACATATTGTTTCATCAAACCATAAATGTAAGATACTGAGTAGAAGAGCAGTTGCTTTGAGCTCATGCTTCTTCACCTACTTGGAAAAAGCAGGGTTAGTTCAAAGGAAGATAACAGAGGAGTGTGAGAAGCTGTTCAGATTTGAGAATGTTTTCGAGGATCTTGTCTCAAAGGGTGAGTCCGAAGGAAAAGTACCGAAATCACTCGAGTTATACTCATTCTTTTGACCAGGTCGATAGCGTGCACGTAGGCGCATCCGACTAAATTGCTCTTTTTTCACAGGAAGTCTGTAAATCGAACAAAAGTTCAAAAATGTATAGTCAACTTCTCAAGATTTTCTGAGCATATGCAAGGCTGGGCATTTTAGATAATTCACAAATTGAATTCCAAGAGCTCCCTAGCATGATGTTGAGACAAATCTTCCTGACTTGTACACTAAACTGGGCTTACCCATTTGTAACCAATTTCCCGTCAGATCCCAAACGTAGTTCGCTGGTGCGTCTTCCACTGAAGGACAAAATTGACCGCTTTTTCTTGGGCCTGAAACGATTCTAGTTCGCAACCTCCCTTTGATAAAATTTCAGTTGAATCTTACTGTCTTCGACGGGTCTTTCATGGCTGGAATTGGCGGAGAGTCTCGCATTTCCACTACCGCCTAACAGTTGGTTGGCCGTCTGAATGTGAATATGAAAGGCTGCGACATAATTTTGTAAACTACCCAGTACAGTTTAGATGCTTTCTCTCCTCACTTTCATACAAAGCTACGAACCGCAATTGAAAAGATAAGTCAAAAAGCTAGGAGGACACCAGAAAGCTTTGTATATTGATCCTAAGCCGCGTTTAAAGTTGTCCGGATGCCCGCGCGTGCCAGAGCCGTTCCACCGCCGTTCTGGAACCCTTGTAGACTTGGAGTGCGTGGACTGCGTGTTAATCGATCACTTTGCCGGCACTTCTGGCACGGCGCTAGCACAGCTGTGGAGCGGCGTGCGGACGACTCCGGACACTGTCTTAGTCTACCGAGAAATGAATTAGTTTCCCTAAGTATACCGAGGTTGGAAAGCTTTGATTTCTGAATCACAGCGAAAGAGACACTTGGGCTGCTGTAGGGCCTGTAGTAAACCCCCCGTATGTGCTGACGTACAGCTCGAAGTCTGCTGTGACATGTGCTGACTACCATGGAGCGAGGCAGGCAAGGCGGCTATCCTTTATCATTTCCGGCGGATGCAATCAATGCGAAGCGCCAGGGTAGTCCCACTTTGTCGCTATATGTCGCGACATATCGCGACATATAGCGACATATTGCGACATGTCGTGACGGACGAGACGGCGAAATACTTTGTATATCATGGAGACGCAGAGACATAGCGCAAGACTAGAGCTCGACTACGCCAACCTCGCAATAGGTCGCACATGCACACAGTTCTCTGTAGTGCACGTCAACTGCAATCAATATCAACAGCTGATAGCCGCCTAACAGTCCGAGCAATGCGCCTCTCCCTATTCTCTAGGTACTTCTGCTGCTGCCGCTTTGGAATTTGAAAATGGTGAGTTTGTTTTGACTAAAAAATATATTAGAATCATACTTAGTCATATTTTTCGTACCCATGCAGTTTTTCTTCTTTTATTTGGCAGCACCTTGTTTGAGCAAGGAATCCCTTCTTCGTGCCGAAATTTTGCAAATTCTTGACTTTTCTTCAATCTTGGGGTAGTTTCGACCACATATCCTTGCTGACTTGCTGTTCGTTAGCCATGCACCTCTCGTTTCCTTTCGTTTTTATGAGAAAGGACCGTCTGGCGTTATGGCTGATGGAATAGCCCATTTTTGAACGGACTGAATGCTGATGATACTATTTTGATTTTTCTTGTGCATTTTCCATATGTATTGTACGTCTCAAATTCCACTTTCTCTTTTTTAAAAGGAAATTCTGATTCACATTCCGTTGCAAAATTCAGTTTGCCAGCAAAATGCAAAAGACAGTGTAGCATGGTACTTTCACCCTCAACGTATGTATGCTATGTTGCGGTTCCTTATATACGCTGTTTCACAATAATTGCAAAAGTAGTAACTAACCCTTCAACAATACTTAATAAGCAGGCGTGTATATAACTCAGACAATTGCATCGGGAAGTTCGCGGGCGCTTGCTCGGCCACCAATCATCCATGCCGCGAGCTGCCCGGTATAAACCGATATTGGTCCCGATAAGTGACCGCGGCGCACCCTGTAAGCGCCCAATAGTTGACCCGAAGCATGCTTGTGAATCCTAGAAAGAGTGAAAAAATCTTGGCCTGTCTTTTATGACAAGACTGAGTACAAATTGAACGACTTGTTAGCTCATCCGTCGATATTACCTACTGTCGTCGATAACACTCAACCAATTGCTGAGGTTTGTTTCATGAGCATATAAACTCAACTGTCACGCAACCCAACTCGAGAAGCGATTACCATTATGATGGAGCGATTATTATGAAGGAGCTGGCACGAATCCGACACGGGCTGACACGTGGCTGGCACGCCCAAATTTCATTGAGAAGAGTCAAATATGGTCCTGTCGTAGCAAATATTGGCGCTCCTTCTCACAGCACGGTGCGCAAGAAGCATAATTCTGCGAGACACATAGATCAGCTGCGCTACCCTATTAATGCATACAAACATAAGATAACGAATTAAAAATGGAGAAACAGGCGCGCTCACGCGAGGATGGTCAGTTATTGGATTTCCTCTGATTTACCTGCTTTGGCAACAATAGCACACTGCATTCTTGCCTTGCTAAGCAAATACTCCACGGCATATCTGTACTCATAGCGCAGCGCGTGTGAGCGCTGTTGTCGCGTTCATCAGCGGTTCGATGACGCGCGGAGGCGCTCGTTTTGCGGCGCCCTGCGGATAGCTCGCTATAGTCTTGCGAGATACTCCGAGCTATCACGACATAGTCCCTCTATGTTGTGACAACCACGAGGGGTTTACTACGGGCCTAGATGTGCGAAGCGCTTTTAGCATGGATTTGCACCCATAACACCTCATAGCAACTTATTAGCAAACTGAGAGACGTTTCAAACAAACTGAAGTATCCCGTGTCCAATGAGTTTTTGGTTGTAAATTTCCTCAAATAATGAACCTAGCTGTTCGATACCTGTCTCTGCGGCGATGCACTCTTTTCTAGGGACAAGTGCCTTCGCAAACGATCAATTACCTGAAAATACAGTGCTTTACCAGCACTAGCGTAGCCTAAGAGTCTTCTAAATGCGGCACGTCAAAAGTCACGCAAAATCCAATCGGAATAGGAAGATAAGCAGCATGTCGACTAATTACGCAATACACTGAGAAGAAATAAGCAAGGGTGGTTCTTCTAGATATGGCGGACGCGTCTACGGTATGAGCAGAGAACGTGCTTAGAGGCGGATTACATAATCTTTATTAGTGAATTTCAGCTAGCAGAGTAATCAGTGACCAAAAAAAGCTCGTGTGTTGATTACGATTTCTAAATAAAAAAGAAGAGGAGATAAAACGTTTACTGCAAACGGGATTACCGACTGATTACATGTCATGGCACATCAAATTTTGCGCAGAAAATCGCTTTTACATCACCGCCAACTAGCCCAAGCCTTTCTATAGGAAAAGACGCGACCATTGAGCTATGAATGAGCTAGGAATTTAGGCATGCCATTCATCTGCCATGCATTTTGAATGACAGTTTCTAATATGCCGATTTAGCAGAAGACGACGGTTAGTCGAATCATGTTCTAATCATGCAGTTACGGTCACATTTTTCTCAATCGGAAGTAAGATTGATCGTCCGCTCCCACTTCCGCATACCTTAAGTGGGAGTGCAAATGATTAAGTTATTTACGATAACATTGACAATTCTTCTATGCCGTACAGGTTTTTTATTGGTGATACACTTTATTACTGCCTTACGTTTCGGTTAAACACCGTCTTCAGAGGCCTGGAAAGGAGTCAGTCACTCTGATATCACTTTCCCTGCCGCCAAAACCTCTTCACACCCGCGTATTCGATTCGTCTCGGGTGGAGATTGAGAGGCTGGGCGTGAAAGTCTACCCACCGAGTGTATCACCGTGGCAGCAGCGTATGCTGCTTCGGGACGTGCTCGAGTAACTTGTCGAATGAGCAGTTGGATAGCTATGAGATGGCTTAAGTAAGGGTGACAATCTCATAGTTCGCATAGCGCAAGATATGGCAATAGATCACTTGTGATAGAAAGCTTTTCATTCTTGCCGTTCATTTTTGGGTCACGGGCAAGTATGTAAGATGCTTCTAGAGCCTTTCGGGCAGCGATTTGATCTTCGAAGGCCAGAATCTTGCATTTGATGTTGTAATCGTCACCGTTGTGCTCTACATTTCTGTGTCTACCTAAAGGAGACACTATACTCTGTCGTTTTTTGCTGGCTAAATGCTCGCTTATCCTTACGCTTAGCGGCCGACCTGTTTCTCCAATATAAATGGCAGAGCAGCTCATACATTCAATTTGATAGACAACGCCACATTTCGCGCAGTCTCCTGCTCTTCCGTAGGGGCACACTACGCAGTCTCGTGTAATACAAGCACTATCATACAATCTGTTGCGAACTAACTGTCTCTTGAGGTTAGCCCGCGGAATATTGATAAGTATGACGTCTTTCTCCAACTGTGCTTGTACTAGGCATTGTTTGATTGCGGCAGTGACTCGTTCGGAAATGAAAGGCAGGCACAGAGGTACCCGATTGATACTCTGTTCACCCATCTTTTTTGGAGTTCTTCTTGAATGTTTGGGCTGCATTGTATATCCATTTGACGTCATAATCATAGCTGCCATTTTTAATGATTCATCTCGTTCACGTCTGCCACTACTGATGTTCTTTGCCGTCTCAAACATATTGTGAATGACAGCTCGTTTGACGGCCATCGGATGTGCGGACTTTGCGTGCAAAATTATGTTTTTCTTACTCTCTTTGCGATACCATTTGATGCTAACTGAGCCTTTATTCATCATCAATTGCGTATTCAAGAAAGGGAGCCACCCGTTTCGCGGTTTTTCTCTTGTCAGGCTTATGTACTGCGATTGCTGATTTAGTATATTGAAGCACTCGTCCATTTCGGACTGAGTGGATGTTATAATACAGCAATCGTCAATATACCTGCAGTACATAAGCGGGCTTCTGAATAGCACAGGTTGTTCTATCTTGCTCATGTAGCAGATTGCTAACACGGGTGCTAATCTTTGGCCCATTGCCAGCCCTCTAATCTGCGCGTAATATTTTCCACACCACCTGAAAATATTGCAGTTCAAGCATTCTTTGATGAGCGTTACGATGCGCGTCTTGCTGAGGCCGTACATCATCATGGTTGTGCCATGTGAGTCCAGCATTTCAGAAAGTGCTTGCAAGGCGCTTCCAATGGATACATTTGTATACAAAGAGTTAACATCGAACGTCTCATACGCGCAATTCTCATTAAACTTCGTTTGGCGTAGTAACTCTAGAAAATGACTTGTGCTGCTCAGGTGGGCCGGTATTCTGTTCAAAAGTTGGCTGACAATTTTGACAAGGAACCAAGATATTCGATCCGTTGGCCCATTGGTGCAACTGACGATGGGTCGTATCTTATAGGTTTTTGCAGACACAGATTGCAAATCGAGCAAAGAGAGTTTGTGCGTTTTAATTAAGCCATAAAAGACAGGGCATGTTGGGGTTTCTAGCTTGAGTCTAGTAAGGAATTTCTCGTGAAGGCCAGCTTCTCTACCTATCAATGTCCAGATGTGATTTAGCTTCTTACTTTGTGATATAAAATCTTTCTCACATGATGGTTGATAAATAGTTCTATCTGACAGATGTTCTTCAACTATCTCGCGGTCAAGGTCTTGTGACATGACTACAAACTCTCCACCTTTGTCACTGACCGAAAGGCGGATAGTACCATTACTGGTCAGTTCTCTCATCTCCCTAAAGCCTTGCTGCTGCGCATGCGTTAAGTTAGATCTTCTTATGTTTTTATTTTCGTTGAGAATGTTCAAAATACCCATAGAAAGTATTCGGAACTTTGTGTCGGCTACAGCGTAAGGCTCAGGCTCCTTGTAGAAAGAAGATGGGAATGGTATTGGTGGTAGTGTCCTTCTACTTAGAGCATCGATTGTTTGTGGTTGGTCATCATGTCTTAAGTTAATCCGAAGCTGGTCTCTTAATCGTTGCAGTGATCCTAACACGCTGCGATAAGTTTTCGCTGTTATATTCTGGGTAGGTGCAAACGAAGGTCCCAGACTCAAAAATTCAACAGCATTAGGTGAGATTTGAGCTTTACCTAGCACCGTGACTCTTGCCGTACTTGCGTTTTCATTCGATCGAGCAGTCATAGTATCAAGAGTGTGAACTACTGGTGGATTTCTATCGGCACCCAAAAGACTCCGCTTACCTTCGCCCGAGAGTTTTTCGAATTTTTCGCGAAGTCGAGCTTTGGTTTTAGACCGCAAGGAGTCGCATATCTGTTTTGACGCGCTTTCGATCCTCAACCACATATTATCACTCAAATATCGTCGGCATGAGTCTTCTTTAGTTTGACACTTCAGCAGGTTGGAGTATAGCGTGCGCTGCTTTTCTTTGATCACCACTTTGAGAATGTTCGTATTGAGTCCACGTATCCTTGGGTGATTTTCTGGTAAACCGCATGTCACTCCCAACTTCTTATTTGCGATGAAGTGTGGAAACATTCCGGTCGACTTGCAACGTTTGAGGAATGTCAGCTGCTGTCGAGTGACCACGACTTTCTGGCGGTAAGCTAATGCTTCTCGCACTAATGAGGACATGTTCGGCGGTACTTCAGAGATTAAACTATAAGTCCTCTTTTCTTGTAACCTGGGCATTTAGTTTATAACTTTGACAATTCTTCTATGCCGTACAGGTTTTTATTGGTGATACACTTTATTCCTGCCTTACGTTTCGGTTAAACACCGTCTTCAGAGGCTGGAAAGGAGTCAGTCACTCTGATATTACTTTCCTTGCCGCCAAAACCTCTTCACACCCGCGTATTCGATTCGTCTCGGGTGGAGATTGAGAGATTGGGCGTGAAAGTCTACCCACCAAGTGTATCACCGTGGCAGCAGCGTGTGCTGCTTCAGGACGTGCTCGAGTAACTTGTCGAATGAGCAGTTGGATCACTATGAGATGGCTTAAGTAAGGGTGACAATCTCATAGTTCGCATAGCGCAAGATATGGCAATAGATCACTTGTGATAGAAAGCTTTTCATTCTTGCCGTTCATTTTTGGGTCACGGGCAAGTATGTAAGATGCTTCTAGAGCCTTTCGGGCAGCGATTTGATCTTCGAAGGCCAGAATCTTGCATTTGATGTTGTAATCGTCACCGTTGTGCTCTACATTTCTGTGTCTACCTAAAGGAGACACTATACTCTGTCGTTTTTTGCTGGCTAAATGCTCGCTTATCCTTACGCTTAGCGGCCGACCTGTTTCTCCAATATAAATGGCAGAGCAGCTCATACATTCAATTTGGTAGACAACGCCACATTTCGCGCAGTCTCCTGCTTTTCCGTAGGGGCACACTACGCAGTCTCGTGTAATACAAGCACTATCATACAATCTGTTGCGAACTAACTGTCTCTTGAGGTTAGCCCGCGGAATATTGATAAGTATGACGTCTTTCTCCAACTGTGCTTGTACTAGGCATTGTTTGATTGCGGCAGTGACTCGTTCGGAAATGAAAGGCAGGCACAGAGGTACCCGATTGATACTCTGTTCACCCATCTTTTTTGGAGTTCTTCTTGAATGTTTGGGCTGCATTGTATATCCATTTGACGTCATAATCATAGCTGCCATTTTTAATGATTCATCTCGTTCACGTCTGCCACTACTGATGTTCTTTGCCGTCTCAAACATATTGTGAATGACAGCTCGTTTGACGGCCATCGGATGTGCGGACTTTGCGTGCAAAATTATGTTTTTCTTACTCTCTTTGCGATACCATTTGATGCTAACTGAGCCTTTATTCATCATCAATTGCGTATTCAAGAAAGGGAGCCACCCGTTTCGCGGTTTTTCTCTTGTCAGGCTTATGTACTGCGATTGCTGATTTAGTATATTGAAGCACTCGTCCATTTCGGACTGAGTGGATGTTATAATACAGCAATCGTCAATATACCTGCAGTACATAAGCGGGCTTCTGAATAGCACAGGTTGTTCTATCTTGCTCATGTAGCAGATTGCTAACACGGGTGCTAATCTTTGGCCCATTGCCAGCCCTCTAATCTGCGCGTAATATTTTCCACACCACCTGAAAATATTGCAGTTCAAGCATTCTTTGATGAGCGTTACGATGCGCGTCTTGCTGAGGCCGTACATCATCATGGTTGTGCCATGTGAGTCCAGCATTTCAGAAAGTGCTTGCAAGGCGCTTCCAATGGATACATTTGTATACAAAGAGTTAACATCGAACGTCTCATACGCGCAATTCTCATTAAACTTCGTTTGGCGTAGTACTCTAGAAAATGACTTGTGCTGCTCAGGTGGGCCGGTATTCTGTTCAAAAGTTGGCTGACAATTTTGAC